ACAGAATGGGAGCTAGAGTCAAGAAAACCACGGCGGGTTTAACTACTATAATGACCACAAATCCGAAATTTGTAGTCATCCCGGTTAAGCCAACATAGTAGCTAACACCCTCAGCTGGTAATGAAATCTGAGTCGTAAGAGTCAAGGACATTGACTACGACCATCCACTCACGCTTAATTCCTAGAAATAGGCATTTATGCGGATATCTCGTATCCCTGGAGGCTACGATAAGTTAAACTCTGAGAAGAGTGGATGAGGAGATTAAAGTTCCGAGTGATGGAACCCTATACTCACTAGATTTGACCTAGACCGAGAAAACTCAAAACCTTCGGGAGAGTAGTTGCAGAAGATGTTCATGCTAATTAGGCACTTCATCCACCCCGTTGCCGACGAGTAGTGCTAGGACCCTCCGCCCTTTCGCGTGGAGAAAATCACCGTCTCTTTGTAGACGATGGACTGCATTCTTCGAAGTGAGCACTAGCATACCGAGAACCATAGGATAACCTCCGCAGGCAAGAATACTTGATTAAAGTTGAAAATAGGTTGCGTTAAGCCTTATAACCCAGATCCCGAAGAGATTATAGACATGACACCAGTCTAGGTGTTAGTTGATGGTTTATACTAGAGCACGCGCTTTCTAAAACCGAAATAAACCAACGCCTTAGAGAATATGACATATCTTGGAGATTCATTGGACTACTAGGTGTTCCACGAATACTATCTGGCTCAGAAATAGTAAAACCACCTCTCAAGATAGTCCAACACTCATCTGGTGAAACCCTATCTCTCCGACCCTGAGGGTTTCCGTTAGAAATATATCAAGAATCAGAAGTGCAGGTTCAATTTGCGCATGATTGAGATAGACACTCTACAGCAAACAGATACCCGTAGACATGCAATCCATCCGATGATTCGGAAGACCTCTGAAAGCCAAACAGTAGGAACACAAATACAGGGACAACCCGAACTTTCTAAGAAACAACCTGAAGAACTACACTTCCAGTATGAGAGAGAACGTTTGGAACTTCAGAATCGCGATCATGCAGTGATGATCTCGCCATAAGAGTACACTACTGAAAAGCCCTACCCTTCCGAGAGCTTAGGACCATCCGAGATTCTTTACAAAGATTGATCCAACCCTCGTGAGACCACTACTACATTCGTAAATTCCACAAGTTTCACCCCAAATCAATCCACTTCTTAGACTTGATAAGTGTTTGATTGATGTCACTCTTTGTATCCCACTCATCTTGATAGAAACCATTGGGAACCCTAACTTCGTAGATGAACCTGTAGGAAATCGCTAACTGCACGAGACGGAATCCGCATCCCGTAAGTGAAGGTTTGTTAGAATGACAATCAAAGGCCAAAGTTCACTTGGGAGTGCGATGACCAACCGAATAGGAAGTGCCCTCATACCTCTACCCGATTTTTCATGATTACTTCCTTGCTTAAACCTGAATTTCAGGACGAAATTCCCTCTAACGGGGGATGATGTGACAACCCAAAATTTGTTCCGTCATTTTTAACCCCTCCTTCCGTTAATAAGCCTCACTTTATTAAATTGTTTGCTAACCTTTTGGACTGGTTAATTAATTTGGGACCTTTTAAATGACTTAGTAAGGGTTGAAACAAATTAGAAACACCACAATATTCCATTGAAAATTTTTAGTCTCAACTAAGTCAAAATACGACCATTTAATCGGGTGCGACCAAAAGTCCTGTTTAACGTTAGTATTGGGTAGATTTCCACTGAGCCACAAGCTAAACCCCTATATAAGGGGGAGTGGACTCCATTCACACTCTTTCCACTCTTTCTCTACACTCTATCTCTACAACTTGTTTTCGAGCCAAAAACGCCCATTCTGAGCCCCGAACTAGTATGTAATCTACCCTAACTTGTTGTGTAGCTTAGTTACCATACAAATTTGTGTTTAAGACATCAATTAGGGGCGAATCCATGTGTTTACATCCCAAGAACACTCTTGGACCGTGAACACCCTTAAGTGGGGTTTTTAAGCCCCAAAACCCCTCTAAACTACCCCTAAGGCTTAGATATGACTTGTGGACTTACACCTTCGAGCTTAGAACACTAAAACCTTGCAGTTTGGAGAGTAAACATGAGTTTAAGGCCCAAGAACACTCTTGGACCGTAAACCCCTCTTTATAGGCCGTGAACACCTTTGAAGGTGTTAGAAATGCCCTCAAACACCTCCTATGGCCTTGGAAAATGTATAGAAGCAACCCCCATTGAAGTAAAGGCATTAAACATCAATTAAACTAAGGAAATAGGAGTTTACGGCTATAAAACCCCCTAGGATTGGTCCATGGTCCGTAGACTCCCAAAAAGTGCCCAAATGATGCCCTAACTTCTTCATTTGACTTGGAAAAATGCATAGAACTTTATTCTCTACCATTTACGACCTCAAAACACAAAAGGAAAGGGATATTAGGAGTTTACTACTGTAAACTCCATGTTTATTGCCGTAAACTCCCAAAAATGGTCCATGTGAGGCCTTAAACCCTTCATAAGCCCTAGATTTGAGCCTAGCATAATTCCACGAGTGATATAAGACCTTGAAGCATCTTAGAACACAACACCCATGAGTTTACAACCGTAAACTCATGGGGATATGGTCTTAGTATGTAAACTCTATAAAGAGTTTACTATTGAAGGGTAAACTCCCTATCTAGGCCATACACTCCCTTAGATGTTACGCGGGACACTCTTAGCGCTTAACCAAAGTGTTTTCCGCACTTTAGGATGCGTATATGTGTTTAAATAGTATTATATTTACTAATTGTATGTAAAATATGTATTCATATGTTAATAGGTCAGTAAGTGTGTTCAAGTCTTTACTTGACACCGAGCACCCAACCGGCACCTTCACCCGATCCACTTACAACCAGTGAGTTCATACCCCTGAATTAACCTTTTGAATGTTTTTACATGCTTTTATGGGGAGGGGGGATACAAGTTAAAACATGCCAGTTATCATATCAATCACATGTGATTGATAACCCGCATGCATAAGGATTTATTACATTGTCAACTGTTTTACCAAGTATGATACTGTAAATGGTTTTCCAAAACGTCTTTACTTGTTCAAAGCTTTTCTCAAATTGTCTCTAGCGCTATATGTTTTACTTCAAATTCAGTTACAACAGTATTTGAAACAAAGGTTTTCTTCACTTATATTGTTTTATCATAAATTACATTCAAAACGTGTTAATGAAAGGTTTTCAAAGGATTTCTAAAGTTTTTTTTCAAACTTATTTTACAAAAGAATACCAAGTCGTGATTTTCTCAAGTATAAAGGTTTTCCAAAGTTTTCATCAAAATTTTCTTCCATGTTTTTATACTCCTACTTTGTTAGATACTACTGCTTCGTTATACTTCCACTTAGTTAATGCTACTACTTCGTAACGCTTTTACTTCTTAATGCGCTCCTACTTATTAACGCTTCAACTTCACGATACACTTCTACTTATTAACACTTCTACTTCACGATACACTTCAACTTCACGATACACTTCTACTTATTAATGCTTCTACTTCACGATACGCTTCTACCTCATGATACGCTTCTAATTCGTTAAAAGCTTCTACTTAGTTAAATGTATGCCTGTGCTTGTATAGTTATATAAATAATGTTTAAAGGACTTAGGAAGGCTAGTTCGCCCTATTTCCTTTTCTTCATTGAGATGTGGTCTGGTGGGATCAGATATCCATCCGAAGGTCGTTTGATCATTAATTATATATTATGTATACATGTATAGACATATAGGTTTACATCGATTGGTTCAGTTATGAGTCTCTACTGCTAATCCAACAATTTCATCAGAATTCACTGTTCGAGATACATCTTCAAGACACGGATCTCCCCATCGTTGAGTTGGTAACCAGAGTCTCTTGTAGGAAGAGTGGACATTGTGTGTATAGATCTATACGGGATTGACACCCCCGCACTCTGACTGCTAGCTACAGTCCACGGCCTACCAAGCCAAGGGGTGATAAATGTTATACTTACACCGATGCTTGTAGGGCGTCAAGTACTCTATTGTCGATTAGTATGGTTACTAGTATCTCCATGTTTACCTTATAATTCATGGCCTTAAGGTAACGATGTTTAACACTGCATGCTGGAAGCACATTCTTAGAATTACACTGTTTTAGACCTTGCTAGACTTATCATTCATTTGATACTATCTGGGGTCTGTGTTCACTGTTTTAGACCTTGCTAAACTTATCATTCATTTGATACTATATGGGGCCTGTGTTCACTATTTTTAGGCCTTGCTAGACGTATATTTCATTTGATACCGTCCGGGGTCTGTGTCTCCTTTTGTTAGACTGAGCCAGGCATGTCGTTCACTCGATACTCTCCTGGAGTCTATGATTTCTTTGCCTTAGTCAGCAGTATCTTCTGCTAAGGCATATGCTATTTTCCCTTGTATTTTACTAGTGATATTCTTCTACTTCCTTTAAAATCAAATACCGTATTTTGGTAATGATAGTATTTCAGGGAAAATTACTCTTTAAAACATAACACTGTCGGGTCTTGGTAGAAGATTACTTTTAATTAGAAAATATAGGATTTTCTAGAAAGGACTCTAATACACTGTTGATTCTAAACTACTACTTTTATAAAGTTATTTGAATAAAATGACACTAAATAGTTATGAACTCACCAACATTTATAAAAATGCTGATACTCGCTTTCAAATAACTTGTATTCTCTGGTCAACAATAGACAGGTACATCCCAGGAGCTTTGGGTGAAGACAGTTTAGTACCAAGCTGCACTTATATTATTACTTGTATTACTTTGATGCTTCTATACAATGTAAACTATGTAAAACTATTCCTATTAATGCAATGGTTGTTGTACTTTGATTACTATACTGCATATGTTGTGATACTTGACATGACATCATCCACCCCAGAACGTTTCCACCGTTCCGGTTTTGGGGTGTGACAACATTCCACTTTCCGCCGCCTACTGCTGCAATCTATTAACGACAATCAGCGCCTCCCTCCAGCAACCGTCGGTAGCCTCGATTTTGCCGCTCCATCTCCTCGCTGGAAAAGCGCACCTCGCCGCAGTCACCTCCCCGCTGCTCCCTTCGTTGATGCTCCACCGCCACCACCTTCCCCACCTAAATTCGAATAGAACCCCCCTTTTTACTCCGAAAACATCCGCCGGCTGCCACCATTCTCGACCTCGCCGGAAAACCGAACAAAACCCAATCCTGTCACCACCTCCCATCCAATTCTAAAAATTCTTGGGGCATTATTAACCAAACACTCCACCACACACCAATCTACTTTTAATTTGGAAAAATCTCGCCAACAGAATCCAAGCTCCGCCACCGGCCGCCACCACTAATTTTGACCAAAAATTTCAAAATTTTTGTTTCTCACCGGAGATTCAAAAGACTTAATTTGTGGGCCAAAATTCAAGCTTGGGGTGCGGATTTTTTGCGGATTTCTTTCGGACTTCAACACACGAAGTTGGTAATTCCTTTTAATTTATTGCATTCAATTTCTAATTTTACTAGACTTGTGCTATGCATTATGTTACATAGAATTAGTCTTAGCTTGCCTTGAATTGATTGGATTGAATTGCATTGTGCCAAATTGCCAATTTGGAATATTGCCCGGTTTAAAGTATTTGGTTTGATTGGATTGGTGTGAGGTGAGTGTGAGGGATAATTTTATCCAAGGTTTTGTCTTTGCTAGGTTTAGTCACAGGTACAATGGAATGGGACATGACCATTCACACATCTCGTGGTTCTTCTCGTGAAGCTCAATTCTCGGGGCGATCCAAGAAAATGTCCACTGACCATGTTGATCGTGATGGGAACCTTACCTTCATAAGTGCCCAAAGCCGAGAATTGAAATCCAACCTTCAAAAGCGTGCAATCCGTGCCACAAAATTTTACCTCCATGATTCTATGGAGCACCTCTGCCTTGACAACCACTTGCGACAACTATTTTTCAACATTGGTTGGCACGAGTTTCTCGATCTTTCTGCACGTACCTACAAGTAGCCTACACTCGAATTCCTCTCCACCTATGCCCGCAATGACATGGCGAGGGTACTCACTTTCAGACTCCAGGGTCGGCAGCACCGACTCAAGTACAAAAAACTCAACAAGATCATGGGCACATATGACATCCACAACTCCGACATTTACAGCTACCAATGGACTCAATTTAAAAGCCTGCCCAAAGTAGACTTTTGGACCCAAATCACGAGCCTTTCCAAGTTCAATCCCAGTCGCCAAAAAGACCCCTTTATCATCCATCCTTGCTGGAGAATTGCCTATCGGGTCCTATCCACTTCTATCTTTGCTCGTCACGAGCTGGGACAAATCAACACCGTTGAGTTGTATTTTCTCTATTGCATGTCGAGCCGACGTTGGTCTTTACCCGATTTCACCACCTTCTTTTTAGACAAATGTGACAGCATCAAGACGAAGACTACTGGTGACATTTGTATTGGAGGTCTCATTACTCTCATTGGGTTGGGTATGAGTCTTCAATTTCTAGAATCTGGATATGTACCAGTAGATGATCCACCTCTCTTCCTTCTCGATTGCACAACTCTCATCCGGATGGAATTATTGCTACCTCATCCTACTCTTCCTGGACATTTCTCTTGGCTCAACCATGTCAAGGACCCAGTTTACATCTTACCCAATCCAAGTATCTCCACCTTCACCACCGATGACCCCAAAACATGGTTCTTGCCTCAAGAGTTACCAGATGATGATGATGAAATGCAGGTGGACCCTTACAATGCTGATAGCCCATTCGAGGCTGAAGACCATTATGATCTACCGATCCGCCAGTTGCCACCACCTTATCCAGGTCAAGCCTCTGGGTCACACTCTCAGCCCTTGGGAGAACACTTCCAACCACAACATGATTACCACTCATACCAGCAACACAATGAGCCTGACCCCGCACATGAGTTTCCTCTCGATATTTACATCCAACTTGCTTCCTTGCGCCTCCAGGGAAATATGAACACCACTGCCATCCACTGCATTGAGGAAAAACAAGCACGTACCAACACTTACATGGAGGACCTTTGGTATCATTTTCAGCCTGAGGGCGGTTATGGGTGTAATTTGCTTGGTGGGCTTGACATCCCACCAAGTTTTGGCGCTGTTGCCGGAGAAATTAGTATTTGTTATTTGATTGTTTATGCCTAGGTCTACAAGAACCAGTGAACTACTCTACAATTCGGAAATTGAAAGAGAAGCAAAAAGGTTGAAAAAGTTAGCCAAACAAGCAAAGCAACAACCACTAGTTCAAGCTTCTTCCTCTTCTCCACTAATCAACATAGAAGATCAAGTTCATACTTCAAGTGATACCGACACCGAACCGAGTTCTCCAATTGTTAGTCATTCCTTTGAAGACATTCCATTTGAAAACCACATAGCCATGAATCACACTCCACTCACAATGCTAACCCAAACCCAATCAATCAAGATGCCAATATCCCACCCCATCAACCAAGACAACAACCACAAGAACCTCTCATTGATATGCCACGTTGGAATCAAGACCCTCCTCAAAACCAACCCAATTATCAACCACAAAACCAAAACTTCCACCAAAACAACCAACCTCAAAACAATGATTTTCAAGTTTAACAACAAGTACATTACCCAAATCAACTCAATTACCAACCCTCTCCAATGTACCAAAACCAAATGTACCCACAACAACAACCCCCTACAACCAATATCCTAATTACCAAGCTTATCCACCACCAATCTACAATCCCCAACAATACCCTTACCCACCTTATCATCAACCACCCAATTACTTGAAACAATATCCCAATAACCCCAATCCACCCAATCCCCCTCAAGAGTTGACATTTTGACAAATGATTAAAACGGATGTTACTCACACACCTCTTGCTATTGTTTATCCCGTAAACCACCGAGGGATTGAATTGAAGTCAACTTTCATCCATCAACTAACCAAATTCCATGGGTTGGATAGAGAAGATCCTGAAAAGCATTTGAAGTCATTTCATATGATATGTGTTAGCATGTTTCCCGACAATGTGACATTGGATGATTTCAAGCTAACCGCCTTCCCGCTCACCTTGGAAGATAAATCTAGAGAGTGGTTATTCAACTTACCACCGGGATCTATTCACACATGGGAAGAGTTACTCAAGGCCTTCAATAGCAAGTTTTCTCTCACATCCCGAATATCAAGCCAAGGAAGTGACATTTTGGGGATTCGTCAAGGGGAGAATGAGACTTTTCATGATTTTTGGGAGCAATTCAACAATTTGTGTACAAGTTGTCCTCAACACAACATAACCGAACAATTACTTCTTCAACAATTTTATAAGGGTATGAATGAAAAAGATCGAAGGATGATTGATGCTTAAAGCGGTGGCGACATCTTCAACAAGACACCTCAAGAGATAAGATCACTTTTTGGAACCATTTCTCAAAATCAAAGGAACTTTGGGACTCGAAATGAAATGAAGAAAAGTTCTACACAAGTGGTTGATGAAGTTAGCAACACTAAACACTTGGAATCAAAGCTCTTGGATTTGACTAATGTGCTAAGTCAAATGGTGGTGGGAAGTGGTCAATAATTGATGGTGTGTGGCATTTGTGCAATGACGGGGCATTATACAGATAAATGTCCCTCACTTTGTAATAAACCAGAAGATGTGAATGCAATGGTAGGATATCAACAACCAAGACCCATGGGACTTCAAAACAATTTCAACTTAAACTAGAGGAATAACCCAAACAACCCATACCCACCAAAACAAAATCCACCAAACATTTTGATGAGACCTCAACATCCACAATACCCCTCCCAAAAACCTCCATATCCACAAACTTCTTTTCACCCCTCAAATTACCAACAACCTCCACAACAAGGCCAACCAAGTGGTAACCATCAAATGAGCCTTCAAGAACTCGTTACTTCTCTTGCTCAAAGTCAAAGCCAATTTCAACAAGAGACCAAGAACACCTTCTCTAACATTCAATCACAAATCGGAGACTTGGCTACCGCTCTCAACAAGATGGAACAAAGGGGAAAACTTCCATATCAAACCGAGAAGAACCCCAATGTGAGTGCAATAACTTTGAGAAGTGGGAAAACACTTGGAGAAAGCAACCCTAAAAGAGTTTCAAGAGAAGAAGAAGATGAAGTCATTATTGTTGAACCTTCAAAAGTAGTACCTCCAAAGGAACCGGCTGTTCCAGACATTGGTCAACCCGAATTTTCCAACAAGACCATAAAGCCATTGGTCATACCACCACCCTTCCCTTCCCGGTTAGCCGCTTCAAGGAAAGAAGAGGAAGAAAATGAATTATTTGAAACTTTCCGCAAGGTCCAAATCAACATTCCACTATTACATGCTATTAAGCAAATTCCAAGTTATGAAAAATTTCTCAAGGATTTGTGCATCAAGAAGGGGAAATTCAAGGAAAATGAAAAGATTCAAGTCAATGCAAACGTGTCTACAGTTGTCCAAAAGAAGTTACCTCCCAAATTCAAGGATCCAGGAATATTTGCTATCCCTTGTACCATTGGTGATTTGCATGTCGAAAGTGGTATATTAGATCTTGGAGCCTCGATCAATGTGATGCCATATTCAGTTTTTCAATCTCTCAATGTTGGACCTTTGGAAGAAACAGGAGTCATCATTCAATTAGCGGACAAGTCAAGGGTGTCTCCAAGAGGAGTGTTGGAGGATGTGTTAGTATAATTTAATCAACATGTTTTTCTCGCGGATTTTTATGTCATTGATCTTAAGGAGAAGACTCCTTCCAAATCATTTATGATCCTCCTTGGAAGACCTTTCATGCATATTGGTCACACAATCATTGATGTCCATAATGGAAAGATAACTATGGAGTTTGATGGAGAAACCATTCACTTCAACATCTTTGAAGCAATGAGGTACCCTAGCAACATTTCTCCATTGTATCGAGCTGATGTGATTGAGCCAATAAATGGGATAAGCCCTAATGTATTCATATACAAGATACTCATGGGAGATGGTTGTAAGCCAATGAGGGAAGCTCAAAGAAGATTGAATCATCCAATGATGGAAGTGATCAAGAAGAAGATAATTAAAAGGTTCAAAAGGTTCGAAGAGAAGAAAAAGGCATTTCATGACAAGCACATAACCCAAAAACACTTTATTCCTAGTCAAAAAGTTCTTCTTTATCATTCATGCTTAAAACTATTCCCGAGAAAATTACGATCTCGTTGGCATGGACCTTTCATTGTTATAAAAGTGTTTGATCCTGGTGTGGTTGAAATCAAGAGTTCGGAAACAAACCAAATCTTCAAAGTGAATGGGCAAAATTTGAAACTATTTTATGAAGGCTTTGACATGAGAGAATTCGACAACGTAACATTGGAAACACTGATTTACAAAGGTTGACGGCAGCAGGACTATGTCTTGGCAAAGACGTTAAATAAATGCATTGTAAATAAATAATCTCCGCTTGAAGTTTTGGGTGTTTCTAAGCTTGAAGTTGGTCTAAAGATAAGCGTATTGAAGTCTAGCAATGATCTTGGTAAAGTTTGACAAAAAAATGCCTAAAATCTGCAACTTGCGTGGGTACCCGCGTAGCCGTTGCACGGCCGAGCCCCAGTCGCACAAATCTGTGCTCCAAAACTCCCCCAACACGAGTTGCAATCTGATTGTTGCGCGTGGCCGGTTCCTCACCCGCACAGATCTTTGCGCGACTGACTGCCACTCTCGCAACCTACTTGCGTGAATGCCTTCCACCCTCGCAGATTTTTGTGCGGCCATGACCAAATCCTTCGTCTTCTTTGCGAGACCAATGATGCTAATTCTTTATTTGCACGACCCAACTATCACTCGTGCAAGGTTTGCGAGGGTACTCATGCAAATGTGCCACTTCATAAGAAAAATTCGAGCCATTTCATATGCTCCTTTACGCGACCAAGCTTTCACCCATGTGTATTTAGGCGGCTAAGAACTCCATCCAAGCATCATTATGCGACCCATGTGTTGCTTCCATACCGTCCTTGCGGGCCTCCTCCACCTTGATCCCGGTACGATCCTTCCTTACTATCATCCTAAGCATTGAGGACAATGCTTCATTTTAATCTTGGGGTGAGGTATTCTTTATCTTTTTTTGTTTTATTGCATTTAGGTTGTATATAGTTGCATTTAGAGTAAGTTATTTAGGTCATTCATAAAAATTGCATAAAAATCCCAAAAATTTTGCATATTTTGTTTCTTTCTTTTCTAATTTTCATACTTTTTAGTTGCATTCTAGTTTAAGTTCATGCATTTTTGTTCTCTCTTGTCTTCTCATCCCCACAGGTACCAGAGCACCGAGTCATAAGTATTGAATCATAGATTGGTTCCGGGTCTTGATATGGAATTCCTTGTATTTGATAAATGGGACACGTTTTGAGCCTCACATACCACTTTGAGACCGCTTGTGTGGGGGTCAGATGCAGGTAGCTTGATTGGGTCTAGGTGTGGAGGGATGTGGTTGGTCATGCCAATATGTGCGAGCAAAGATTAGCCCAGTAAGGTATTTTGAAGACATTGAAGATATTGAAGACTCGCATCTTGGTTTTGGGGGGATTACCCCTTAGTACTCCCGAGTCTCGTCCGAGCCTTACTTAGTTAGATTCTCACCACCTTTTTAAGATAGGTCATCATTTTTCTAGGGGTCTAGAGTAGATAGTTAGATAGATTTTTGTTTATCACGCCTTGCATTGAGGTGCTTGATGAACATTGAAGTGGGTCCCCCAATTTACATCTTTTGGGACCAAGTTTTTTCGATAACACCCATTTTTGAGTCATATCCCACTCTTTTTAGGTGATCTTGGCATATTTTCAACGATTAATAGGTGTTAATGATTAAGCCTCTATCTATTGCTCCATCTTCACTATTAGAGTATTATGTTACATGGTGAAATTCCTTAGACCTTCCAAGAAGAAAGACAAGAAGAAAACACAAAAAGAAGAATAATTGGAAAAAGTGAAGACAATAAGAAACGATAAAAGATGATTCAAGAAGATCAACAAAAACAAAGAAGAAAATTGAAGAAAAAGAGTAACGCAAAAGAAGAACAAGACTCCAAGTTCAATCATTTATCTGAAAAAAAAACGATGAGAAAGTTGAATATCAAGCATCAAAATGAGATTGAAGACCAAATAAAAGAA